ATTCAGTCTTTCTCCATTTAGAGAGCTCTAAGTGTTTAAAAGCTCTTTATTATAATAAGATGACTTCCCCATGACTTTAAACACTGGTCTTGGGTCTGCCATCTGGTACCCCACACAATGGGTGACAGCTGGAGACAGTCATCATTCCCCTAAATATTCTCTTCTCCACCCTAAAAAACTCAAGTCCTTCTTTAACATGTTCCTTATATACAAGGTTGCTCATCTCTGGATGAGCTTATTTTTCTTTGCAAGGATGGAATGAGGATCAGAGCACAATAGGGTGTGAGCTTAAGCCCAGGAGGTAGAGGTTGCAGTGAGCTGAGATCATACCACCACACTCCAGCCTAGGCTACAGAGTGAGACCATGAGAAGAAGAGAAAAGAAAAGAAGAGAGGAGAGGAGAGGAGAGGAGAGGAGAGGAGAAGGGAGGGAAGGAAAGGGAGGGATGGGAAAGGAAGGAAGGGAAAGGAAGGAAGAAAGGAAGGAAGGAAGGAAAGAAGAAAGGAAGGAAGAAAGGAAGAAAGGAAGAAAGAAAAGAAAGAAAAAGAAAGAAAGAAAGAAAGAAAGAACGAACGTACGAACAGCACTCTCAAGAGCTGCACCAATCGCTTTCTGTGTTCTATATAAGATATTTATATCATAGCCCCTATAATCACATTATTTTTTGCCCCCCTCCCTCAACTTGCTTTATATTCCTCTTGAAATCAACATTGAAATTCCCTAATATTTTTTCCCCAGGCTTTGATATTTAGCTATTCCTCCCTGTTTCTGCATATATGTAGCTAGTTTTTTGGGGCACAGGAGCAGGACTTCATGAAGATTCTTATTAAAATAGGCCTATTGTACCATTCTATTGAGACTTTTATATCCTGACTCTATCACTAAATATATTTACTGTTGCCACTGGCTCCAAGGGTTGTTGGCTGCAACCCTTATAAACAGTCCTTGAGTCCTCTCTCAAAATTGCAGAGAAAAGCCCAGAGTTCTAGAATTGGATTAACTATTATTTGTGTGACTATGAACAAGTCACTGGGTCATGAAGTCTCTTATTTATGCTCAAGGTCATGAAGTCTCCTGAGCATAAAAGGGTGAAAAGGAGATCATTAGAAAGGTATAAATTCTTACTGTAACATTTTGACCTCCTATTAATGTTAAATTTTAATTCAGCATTCAGCTGTAAGGTTTCACTGAGGACTGACATAAGAAGTAGCCATACACCAAAGGCCTCTGTGTTTTCTGTGGAATTGTATTAGGTGATTCAATGTCTCATTTGTAACATTCCCATGGGAAATTTCTCTTGGTGCCTAGCGATAGAAAAAATTTTCTCTCCCAGTGATTGCTGAGCTGACATGAGTTTCCATCTGTTTTGACTTCTAAGAAGCTCGGAGGAAAAAATCAATTGTTCAATTGCTGTATTTTGTCTTTATTTTTATTTATTGATTTTCCCACCTTTCCATCACACTTCATAACCTAACATTTCATGTTAATAGTTCTCTGTGTGTGTGTATATATATATATAATCATATACATATATATGTATATGATTATATATATATATTTAAGCAGACCCGTGACATATCCTTTTTCTAAATGCAGACAAAATATAAAATTAGACAAACAATCAAAGATAAGCAGGACATCACATCAGATGTCTTTTCAGATGTTTAAATGTCCATGGAATAATTTCTTTACTTTTTAAATAGGGCAGAAATTTTTTTCAGGGAACTTATACTAAAGTAGTTAAGGTTTGCTTTAGCCCTCCAAAGCACTTCCTTTCAACATTTCTCAGTTTAGAATGGCATGTTCTGAAAATCTTCCATATTTAATCTCCTGAAATGGCACCTTATTTAAAGGCAGAAATACAAATCATTCGATCATTTGCTAATCTTTTCTTTTTTTTGGCCTTTCCATTACAGAGTATTTCTTTTTCATTAAATATTGTTACCTGCCTAGAATTATTTACACTGATAAAACCTCTGGGCTCAGTGTCTGTTAGAAGCCCAGAGTTCTAGAATTGGATTAACTATTATTTGTGTGACTATGAACAAGTCACTGGGTCATGAAGTCAATTTACAGAAAATTGCTTTTTGATGAACACCTGGTCAATATTAGGCATTGTTAAAGAGCATATAACTTACTTTTAAACAATATAAAACAGTTAGTTTATAATATATAGTTTGACTATATGAATGTGTAATACTTTAACCTTCAAATTTAGGAGCTTAATAAACCAGTCTAGGGTAGTTAGCCAGCATTATATTGGAAAAGTAATACTCTAGAGGTGGCCACTATACGAGCAGCTATTGCACCTACTTCAGTGAAAAAATGATGCTTTACTTATTAGCAAGAATATGTCAGAAATATATTTTCTTTGATGAAATTAGTGGCCCATTAACTAAGCAAGGTAAATGTTATAAATGGAACTTAACTGGTAAAATGAGAGATTTAAATATATGTGGGATATTACAATCTTGGAGACATTCCTCACCTTTGCATGAAGAGGATATAAAAATCTTATGGAGGCCCATGGCCTATACCATAGGATTAATGACCAAAGTTTGATCACTAAACTACCCTATTTTCAGCTGTCAGTCTAATAGGATTTCTGATTATCTGATGTTGAATATAAGGGTAACAAAGTTGTCTTATTTCTAAGGTTATGATTAGAACACCTAAATGGACAGAGACCTGGGGATTTATCAAATTTATGGAAGGGGTTGTGAGTCGAACACTGCCTTGTTGCTAATAAATGTTTGCTAACATATACCTATATATGTAGCAGAATTTGCCATAAGACTTACTTTTAACCTAACTAGCAAAAGCAGTATCACTGGGAGGTTGTTAATCCTCACCAACCTCAACCTTCACCAGTAGCCACATTTACCTGTCAAAGGTTTGTATGAGCAAATTAACACAGGATAGCTCTTAACAGACATTTTGCCTCATTTTATTCTTCATCAGAGCCCTTTCAAATTAGTTACTATTCCCTTTTTTCATATAAGGGAATTCAAGTTTAGGGGATACTAATCCATAATAATATGACTATTGAGTTGTAGAACCTTATGTGTTTGATTCCAGATAAGGTAACTGCCACCTCCCAGGTATATCAAAACTTCATTGCAAGGAATGGGTAATTATGACATGCCTAAAAATTGTTCCCTGCAAATGTTTATGTTAAACAAAGTCTGTTTAGCTCCCTTATAGTTCAAAGTCAACCATGTATTAAATTTATTTTATATATATATATATTGTTACTTTACGCAATTATAATTACTGTTAATATATTTTGAGTTTTTAAATGTTTTATACTGTTTTTAAATCTATACCTTATTTGATTTATATAATCTATTCAGAGAAATTGCAAGTTCATACTCTGGGGCATAAGCCTCTGTGTGACACAATTGTGTGACCTAGTTCTAGAGTCCTCTACCAGAAAGTTAGACTCTGAAATTATCACTTGAAACATGATTTGAAAAAGTCAAAGTTATCTAAAGGTCAATAAAAAGCTTATCTCAAAACATTATTACATAGAAAAAACTAAATAGTTATTGGAATGCTGAAGTGATATAAAATATTCATGGGTTGAGATTTTTTATATACATTAGAGGACAGCAGAGTTGAAGGAATAGTTTTGGGTTCCATGAAACTACTAGTCAGTCTAAAAATAGAAAACAAATGAATAAAATTCAATATATGAATACAGAAGAATTTAATTACACAGTTACCAATAAAATATCATGTTCCAATTGCATTTGATTTTGGATATTGTGTTCCAAGCATAAATCAATCTGGTCACAAATAACTGAAATCTAGTTTATATATTAAAATCTTTAAGTTCTTAGAAAAAAGATCTTAGGTTAATAAAAGGTAACATTGATAAGTTTCTGTTTATATTTCTGAAATGTATGCTTTTAGGTAATTTATGTTTAATATAAGTGGAAGTTATAGGGAAAAAATTGTTCGTTTCATAGGAAGCGATTTCTTTAGCAACCCCTTATTATAAGTGGAAGTGGTGGCATCCAGAGAATATAAGTTATGAGAAAATGTATAATCATACTTTTACTTTAAAATGTTAGATATTTTAATTTACTCTAATTTCATTTAAAAACGAAAGCATATATTATGAATAGGTAATTTAATCAAACTGTTTTTTGGAGAAAGGCTAATATGTTTTTATTATACTATAGCTGTAGATATGGCTTTAATAATTTTGGGGCCAGGCATGGTTGCTCACGCCAGTAATCCCAGTACTTTGGGAGGCCGAGGCGGGCGGATCATGAGATCAGGAGATTGAGACCATCCTGGCTAGCATGGTGAAACTCCATCTCTACTAAAAATACAAGTATTAGCTGGGCATGGTGGCGGGCACCTGTAGTCCCAGCTACTTGGGAGGCTGAGGCAGAAGAATGGTGTGAACCCGGGAGGCGGAGCTTGCAGTGAGCTGACATGGTGCCACTGCTCTCCAGCCTGGGTGACAGAGCAAGACTCCGTCTCAAAAAAAAAAAAAAAAAAAAAAAAAAAAGAATTTTGAGTGCGTTAGCCTTTTTCATATGTGTTATTATTATATAAACATTAAAATTACCCTTCCTCTGTAATTAAAATGAAAAACCCACACACATTACAAAGTAAGGAGTTATGTCTTTATTCTTAAAATGTATGTATATGCTTATAGTAACTTAGGATAAAAAGTATCTCGAAATTACTCTGTTCTTGTAAATGTTACTTGGAGTATTATGGGAAGAAAGTCTGCTAGTTGGATTAATTTCCTGGGATGTTTTTACAACTCGTTGATATTTATCATAACTGAACATAATGAAATGAGACATAAAAATTATATTACAGCTTTTATAGGTTTAATATCCATCAATGTTTAGAAAGCTGGTTAGACATAAAATTAATATTTGTTCTAGGATTTCAACATTGACTTCAGTAATAGCAGAGGAAAAAAAAAAAAAAGAATGTGCTTAAGGAGAAAATCTCTGGTTATTTTATAAACATACCACTCCGTTCACTGATAGCAGCTGGTCTCCTCTTTTGAGGCCTCCGTGTCTTTCAGCGACCCCTCCAGGAATGATGCGAGAGATATAAATGGGGGAATTTTGCTCTTTTCCTCCCATCACGTTAAAACCAAGGCCTTCATCAGTCTTTGGCAGTTCAACTACTCGAGGGTGGGAGTGGCCTTCGCTAGCTGCAAAAGCTGCAACTGTTGCCTGAAAAAAAAAAAGACAGTCTTTTGGTAATAAAATGAGGGAAATAAGGCTAATCATATGCTTTGCAGTGGGTAGCTCAGGCAACTTCTCATATTTTTATAGTATTCTCCTGTGAAAGAAAGAACACAAAAAGCAGAGGCCTTTCTTCATTTAGATGCCATCTAGGATTTCTTTCTTTGGTAAAGTCCCACTCATCTATTTCCAGCTTCCTAAGTCTTATCTGGTATGACAAAATTTTCCTGTTTTCATAAAAATCTTTTCCAGTTACCTTGGTTAGATGCAATTCTTCCTATTCCTGGAGTCCAAATAACTTTGTTATAGGTATTATCTATATTATAATTGTTTTATACATATGTTGACTATGAGCACCTTAAGAGCAGAGACAATGTCTTGCACTCTTTTGTATGACACACAGTCTAATCTGGTGCTTCTACATAAAAGTTCATAAGTTTTTTTTTTAATAAATTGAAGAGCACTTATATGTATACATACTTTTGAATACATATGTAATCTTGCTATTGCCAACCCAAAAGCTTAGCAAATTTAACTTTTTTAAAAAATTAAGGATGCCTTAAAGAGAATGAAAACTAAAATAAAATAATAGATTCAAACAGATTATTGTTAGTTTATACCAATATTCCTTACTATTATTCCATACTGAGAAATCTTATCAGGAACAGGATTTTGCTTCCTATATTATACATTAATATTTCAATTATTATAACAAAATAGGCAATATGAATAGTCAATGGTTTTAGGCCTAGATATACAAAACACCATTTAATATGGACATAATATGTTTTAAAATTCATGTACTGATTTCATTAAATGAGTTTAGGAAAACAACTTACCATTAGTTCCCTCTAACCCCATAGAAATAAAATAACAGCATTTAGGTAGTTTCTATCAAGAAATGATTCCCTGCCTGCTTATTTTTCACTTTTATTAATTCACCTTGACCACAGTTGATTAGATGCCTACTATAAAGTGACTTACTCAAGACTGTGAAAATATTTATTCCCAACAACTGTACATTCTTTTCCACACACAGCATTATCACATCAATTTAGCATTACGCTACTGTCTGCATTTAGTGAAACGTAGTGAATGACATGAAAACAATGGCTTCTTTTTAGCTACATGCATTTGCTCATGCAAACCTCATTGTCATGCATAGATTTTAATGGCTGACATGGATGCAATGCAGACAGCCCAGAAACAACCAGAAAATATTGTGCTATTGCAACATTATGCTGCTATCCTGCTGTTCTACATGAATAAGAAATGAGAATGGTAAAACACTACACAATTCACTTTCCCCTTAATTAAACCACGTAGGGATCATTTTTCTGTGTGTGTTCCACTTCAGTACAAGCAAAGCATGACATAATGATAATAACACCCTTTTTTTCCCCCTGAGTTTAAACAAAACAAAACAAAACAAAACAAAAAAACCTTACAAATCTACAGTGTTCAGTTACAGAGTAAAAACTAAAAACTCAAGAGAGAAACTAAACAAGCGTTGATGTAACACAAAGGAATTAAATGGAAAATTCTAATCATTTTCAATGGTTATTTCTTATACATTGTTAGAAAAATAAAGTATTTTTAAAAGCAAGTCATGTTTCTATTATAACATTTGTGTGTTTGTAAAAGAAGAGCTGCATCAGTGATTTTAGTTTAAAATTGGTATTTCCTAATGGCCTATTTTCCTGATAATTTCACCATCCTCTTGGTATAACATTTCCATTAGTAGGGTCTCTACAATCTCTGGATTTGAGTTTTTAAAGGGCAGATGTGGTCACTACCACAAAAGGTGACAGGCCTCTTCTATAGGTCAATGCCACACCCTTTCAGCAAGTTACCCACTGCTCAGCTGAATACATAGAAGTATCCTAGATCAGTGGGTGTCAGGTGAATTCTTTTCCTGTCTAATTGAGATCAAATCTTTAGACCGGTGCAAATAAATCTTCATGCACTGAATACGATACAGGTTCTTTCGGATCAGAAGAATGTGTCAGAAAATCATATAGTATTTCCCACAATGAACCAGTAGATTTGCTTGTGCCAAATGGACATTAAGTGAGTTTAATGAAATCATTCTCCTTTCTTAAGCTACAGAAGCAGCAGAAACGTTCAATTTTCCATTAGGATTTTTACCTGAGAAGTAGTACTGGTTCTAGACTCTGGGCTGCCACTGATGTCTAAATTCTCTTACAGTGTACACACGAGAATACCTGAAACACACACGCGCACAATCAATTACTAGATAACTGGAGTCAAGTATATTTTTAAAGTTACTCAAGCCTTACCTTTGCTGTTGCCCTCGCACGGAATTCAGGACAGCCATTAACAGTTATCGTTTCATGCATATATTGATACACCTAAAATGTTCACATAAAAAGAAGAATGTGTAAGAACATTAAGAATAATAATTCTTTTATTGCAGAAAGAAAATTACATTTTCATTGTAGGAAAAAACTTCTCTATCTCAAAATAAAATAGGTCTGATGATTAGGAATGTACCTAATAGCACTCCTTAAACAGAGGATATTATTACTCATTGTGATTTTAGATACAATTACAGAAATCATTAAAATGTAGTAGAAAAAAATTGTTTCTTGTAAACTGCCAGGGATGGGATTATAAAATCTTTGTATCCATGGTAAAAATAAATTGCTTAATCGTAAACAAAGTACAGAAAAAAACCTTAAAGGATACCTTGAGGAAAATGTTTGGAAAAAAGTAACAAGGTTAAATGTGTTGGACTATATGTTCATTTTGGATTTAAATAGTAAACATAAAAATTTATTCCATAATGCGTAGCAATAAAAGTCCATTTGGTACTAGGCTAGAGTATTTTTGGGGAGTGATCCATTAGCTATTTCAGTAAAAAAGAAAAGGGAAAAACTGCAATTGAAAGTTTAAAGGTTTTTTTTTCTTCCTTTCTATTAATCTTATTTTACATGCTTAAGTCAAAAATGAAATAAGTGAATTCAACATTTGATTAATTCACCCATTCAACAACTATTTATTGAGGGTCTGGGACTAATCTCTTCCCTACATTTTTGACTGGCTCATAATTTCTCAGATACATTTGGTTGAAGCGCCACTAAGGCTGACTTATCTTTCCCAGGTGACATGGTTAGAAGGAAATTGACAAAGTAGTCTGTACTAAAAAGGGAACAGCGCAATTCAGAATCCAACTTTTAGCTCTGAATCTCCACCTAACAATTATGAGGCGTTCAATTTCTATGGGAAATCTGAATGGGGACAGGAACAAGTTTCCAGAAGATCATTTGTGGAATCTGAGATATGTTACTGCAAATTCTCCAGGTTACCTGAACAGCTGCTAAACATACTTCCAGGTTATTTCCTTGGAAATGCATTATTTTATTTCATAGAGACAGCCTTTCCAAAAATAAATTCTACTTATTTGCTCTAATAGCCCATTTCAGAGGAAGATTTTCCCTGCCCTGCTTCTCTTGTAATAAACTCTCTCAAATCTGACCCTTCATTCCACCCTAGCTCATTACTTCTCGCTGAAAGCATTGCATTAGTGTCTTAATTGGGTCTCCCTGCCATCAAACAATACACACTTTGGTGATCATCAAGTACCTACCCGACCATGTCCCTACTGTGCTCTTGGCTGTCTGCTGCCCTTACTGCAAAGGTGATTAGGGCAAATACCTACAGGAGTCAAACCACAGATAATAATGCAGAACTCAGTCTTCTCTCTAGTTCTATTTTCCTGTTTTCTTTTCTCCACCCCCACCATTCCTCAGACACACCGAACTCTCCAAGTTACCCAGGTCTCGGCAAATGCCGTTTACTCTGCTAGGAATGCCCTTCCACCTGGCAGACTCTTATTCATCCAAATTTAATATGATGATAAAAGGTCAAATTCAAATATTGTCTCCTCTATTAAATGTTTTCTGCCTCCCTCAAGCAGAGTGAGTCTCTCCTTCCATAGTTCCTGGCCATCTGAATTTGTTTGAAGTTATTTTGGTTAACATTGCCAGGGAAAGTGACTTTGCCTGCACCCAAGGATGTTTATGAAGACAATCATTTAGCAAATAATTGGACTACTGTCATCAATTGATTAAAACAAAAGGTAATTTTGTAAGTGCTGGAGATAAAGTAAATACCTGTAACCTAATAAATATCACAAATTAAGAATAATTAGCCTTAAGATCCCAAATTGATTTTGAATTAAAAAGTGGGATAGTCAAGGATCAATACTGTATAGTAGATAATTTCACAGACTCTGGAGATGGCTTGGAAGCAAACCCCAGCTGTGCAATTAAATTGTATCATGTTTGTCAGTTACTTACTTTCTCTGATCCTCAATTTACTCATTTTAAAAATGTGCCTTAAAATATTAAGTAACTTCTAGGTCTGTTATGAGGAATAAATAAGAACAGTTTGCCATGTGTAGTGTGTTTCCAAAAATTAGCTATCATTGTTATGCTGCTGTTGGCATTTCATGTTTCTCGTCTTATTTGACCATGGATCTTTTGGGGAAAATCTCCTAGGACGAGCAGTTCGTGAACACTCTTTACATATAATTGATCAAGGGCTGTAGTTCTCAACTGAGGACAATGTTGCCCTCCAGGAGACATTTGGCAGCATCTGGAGGCATTTTTGGTTATCATAAATGGGTAGGGGTGGGATGCTACTGCATCTAGCATGTGGTGTCCAGGGATGCTGCTAAATTACTACAGTGCACAGTGAAGCCTCACACAACAAAGAATTATCTGCCAAAATATCAATAGTGCTGAGATTGATAAATTCTGATCTAAGGAATTAAGCTATACCTTTTCTTCTTATATGTAATGATTAGTAAGCTGTAAAAACACACTTGGATAGCACCGAGTAAAGGCAATTGTAAAACATTCAATAAATATTTATTGGAGTAAATTACCATAATTCTGGTACGTATTTCATGAGAAATCACCATGGACCAAATGTAATACTAAGCATTTTATATCTATGAGCTCAGTTAATTCTCTTAACTTATGATTTGGGCCCTCTACACACAAAGACACTGAATCACAGAGGGAGGAACATACCAAAGACCACACAGCTAATCTGTTGCAGATTTGGTGCAGCACCTCATCTCTATCTCCCTTCAAAATCTTTCCTCTTTCAACCATGTCAGACTTTCTTATATTAAAACAGCATCAGATCGCTACTATTTTGGCAGCATCAGTGTGAACAAAACCTTACAGTTGTTACAAGCATTTCTTTGTATTTTGAATAAAGGAATCTAGGTTTTATATAGTGGATACAATTAAACAAGTGATGGCTGCAACTATACGATGCAATAATTCTGAAACCAATAAATTCATTAGTCCAGAGTGAAATATCATTTTAATCTTCCTTTATGATGATGATATATAAAGATTTAATGGAATGAATTCAATATAATTGCCAGTCTTTTTTTTTTTTCCTACAAAACACAATAGATTCTGATTAGCTGGTTTTCAAAAGTGAGCTGAAGAGGACATGATCTGGTTGTACAGTCAGATCAAATCCTGGAGATCTTAATTCTATTTCCATTAGCTGTGTCACCTTATGAACTTCCTTAGCCTCTCATTTCCTAAGGCACAAAATATATCCACGCCTGTCTTACTTTTCAAAGACAATTTTTAAAGTATTTGTAAAATTTTGAAGAAAGTTGTCATGGAAAGCCAGAGTATTTTACCAGATACCCTGAGAGAGTTCTTAAAGGGAAAAGAGAAAATAGTTATATGTCCTTTAATGAGGGGCTTATTAGTGGGACTTATAGACTCCTGAATCCTTTGGGTCCCAGAATGTATGATAAATTTCAGCTACAGCATTTGTAAGCACATTTCATTGGTAAAATGGGTTTAGTTCCTAGTGTAAGCCAAATAACTGATAGAAACTCATAAGGGTTTTACTTTATATTTTAGCATTAGTAATTTCCTAACCTTGAATAAATCGCATAGATTCAATAGCATTTTGCATGTTTAGAACTTATTCCAAGCTACTGAAAATTGAACAAGATATATTAACTTAAAAAAAGCAATAAAATTATAGTGAGTTGGTTCAGAAAGTTCATTTATTCATTTGTTCAGCTAACATTCATTTAGGAGCAATTCTAGTCAATGTGTTAGGCACCTGGGCTAAATTATGAAAGTAAAAAATAATGGTTGTTTTTAATTAATGTTTGAAACAATATTAATTTTCACTATAGAAGGGCTGTTTTCAGTTTTTTAAGTGAAAAATTTCCATTTTATTTTTCTTTGTATTTAAATGAAAACAGAATACTTTTTCTGGATGGAAACTTTATCCCTGAGAGAATAACAAGTATAAATGAAGTCCAAGCTTCACTTTAATTTATTTACCAAGTTTACATACACAGGTCATGCAAACATTACCACAATATAAACTTTACATTGTATAGTTCTTCTTGATCTTGAAAACCCTAATTGGTACAGAAAGGTAGGTTAGGGATGACAGCCTTTATTGTGAGTTTCTCATTCTGGATCTCTTTTCTACGTGACTTTAAGTAACCTACTATCTGTGTACCTTAGTTGTCTATTATGTAAAAGACTATATTCAAAGAGGCAATCTAAGAAGATAGAGTATGTGACTTCATAAACCACAACCCATTATTCTTATTATGCTTTCATTCTAATAGCTGCTATTATTTCTATTATTACTATTATATACATACACAAGATGCAATTGGAAAAGTGCCATTAGAATTTAGTTGCTTAGCCAGCAGCAAGTTTTTAAAAACCTTGAATTTAAAGCTAGATTTTGATTGTTCTTTCTTCTACTTTTATAGCAGAGGTTTATTGCCTTTTGTATTTTGATGTTATTTAAAACTTTCTGCTGAGGCAGACACTGGATGGACTCATCTCACACAATCCCCAGTTTCAATCCCCTTCTCCCAGTATTGCCTGATCATATGACACACTTCTGTCCAATGACAATTCAATTGGAAGCAGGTGAGAAGCTGCTAGGAAAGTGTTGCTCTCATGGTGAAAGTGCTGTCTTTTCTCTGTCTTCTACTTCTTGTCTTGTGTGTGGATATTATCAGCTGTAGTGGTAACCTTCAACTTCAGAGAGAAGGACCAAGGAAGTGTAGGGATGTCAGTTCTGATTACATGGAACTTCTAAATGCATGCAAACACCTGCCTATCTCTGAATTTCTTATAACGAAGAAAAGCATTCTTGTTTAAGCCACTACAGTTGGACTTTCTGCCAAAAAAGTTCCTGATTGCTATATTCCTCAAGTAAACGTTACATAGAACTATGCTATCTTTAGGGTCTCTTTTCTTCTGTTCCTTCCAATTCTGAAACTTATAATTTTGCCAATCAGAAATTAGTACAAATTGGTTAATATGAGGGC